GGGGGGGGGGGGGGGGGGGGGGGGGAGATGTCAGGAGGTGGACACACTGGGCTGTTGAGGGGGTAGGAAGAAAGGTGGGCAATTTGGGAACAGGAGTTGGTGAAAAGGAAAGGGCATCACAGGAGTTTGCAGAAGTGGGCTGTTGATTGAGTAGAGGGGGGCGGTAGTTGGAAAAAGTGGGCTGTTGCAGAGGAGGGATAAGGGGTCAGGAGTTTGAAGAAGTGGGTTGTATGGTTGTTGAAGGAAATGGGGTTCATGATGAATTGGGAGTAGGGTTAGGGTCTGTGGTCCACCTTTCAGGGTCTTTGGTCCACCTTTTAGGAATTACAGACACCATACCCTTCTTTTCATTCTTTTCAACCATAAACGTTGGATTCCCTGCTTCAACAAAAAAGTCTCCACAATGGTGGCCGATCGACATAACAATAGTGATGTAGCAAAGCTCTAGAGCTCATGGTTCTTAAGGTGAAGATCAATGTTTAAAGTTTTAACATATTTGCTCCCTAGCCTGTTACCTTGATTTAAGTACGACAAGATAATCTATATGAGGAAACCTCATGATCATTTTGTGATCGTGGGTCCTTCAGTTCTTAAGAAGAAGCTGTTCCTTGAAAGAGTTAACCCATTCACCCCTGTAGTCACATTTGAACCTTACCAAATCAAAGACTGGGCCAGTCCAGTTTAAATATGTAGGGTTGGACGAGTTAAAGGCACTTTGTTGCAGATGACCTAAAAATTATGTTTTGATAATATGAAATATCATTTCGACAACTAAGTATATATTGATAAACATATAAGCTGGAAATAATTAAGTAGCATTCTACTGTACTGTAATAAATTTATGATCATACTGTTGTCAGCAGTCAAAAATGTTAGTGCAGACAGTAAGTTCGTAAAAACGTCAAATTATATTTTTAATTTGATGCAATTGTTTGATTATCATGCACATCGTTAGTAGGATGTCTTACAAGTTTTCTAATTATCAAACAGTTTCAAAAGAGTGAGGTTGGACTGCATACAATAAGGAAAAGAAATACATCAAAAGATATATTACCTTCGTGTTCAAGTTGAAGAGTATACTCCGAAAAAAATCCACGTGGTAAAATGGCTGTCGACATGGCTTGTACGCAATCCTAGGATGTGAGCAAAATACTTGTCACATACATTTCATTGACTTTGGTTTTCCATGACTCTGAATTTGTGGAAATGTTAACATGCATAGTAAATTCATCTACTGCCATACAGCTGAGTCTGTTATTTTTTTAAATACTTTTTATCACTTCAACGTTAAGTTAAACAAGAACTAGTCACTTTTCAGGTTTAATCATACACCTAAATATACATTGCTGGTAGCTATACATTAAACAAGGAACTAGACAACACAGAGAAAGCTAAGAGATTTAGCAAAATTTGTTGCCAATGAACCAAATGTGGCACAATGAGCGTGGCACACATGTGTAGCACACATACACAGTTTCAGTAGAGTAAACAAGCAACAAAGCTAAAGGTACACACACCAGTACACACAACTGCCCACACAGACATGTTGTAATACAAGTGTAAGATGTATATATAGGCAGTCTTAATCAGGGACTTTTAACAGGTCCCCATATCTACACAAGGGTCAATGTACTTTCCCAGATAGAAATGACCAGTCCTGTTGGTCAAGCTAAACAGGTCAGTCCAGGTAACACTGCTGCTAGACTGATAAGCAGCCACTGGCGTGTATATATATATAACACAAAGGGTATTTCAGGTCAGGCTAGATCTAAGAGGGTCACTTCAGGTTAATGTTCCTGTAACCCAAGGTCACTGTTCAACAGATGGACAGAGTGTGACATCCAGGGGCTCCCACGGGCTAATCCTGGCGAATTCATGCAGAATAATTCTCTGTTAGACATAAGTAACCAAGCTAACAAAACATCAGTCCTTAAGTGATATTTTTGTTGTGTTTTATGGGTAACTTTGTATCCAGCCTCAGTAGAACACTGCCGTGTAAACAAACAGTGTTACATACATCAGTAATGTGTAGTCTCCTCGCACTAGTTCACATGACATAGATCTCTACCTGAACTCCTCTGCATGGCTTACACATAATTAACACATTCAAAATATCTCTGAATTGATTGCTAGAAATCAAACCTATAAATTATATCCAGTCAACAATTAGAGTTTGATTCAAATTCAATGCTCAGGCTGCTTGTTCCAGGAGTGATCTGGTCACAGAAACTGGGTCGATGACGTCAGCTTTAATTTCATGGTCAATACCGTTAGTCTATGATACACTACCTAATGTATGCTATTCAGAGTGTTTCTCAGAGCATGACATACCAAGACAGAGGCACATTATGGGTACGCGTTATCGCAGGAAATTTCATCAACAGATTATATTACATTTTTGCAAGAATTATAGGTAGAAAGTGGGTGTAAGAATTAACTACTGATTCTTACTAGTTAAGATAATTATGGTCTTACTAAAATTGCACCCTGTATATATTTGACTGGTATTTGTATTGATGTATACTGGTGACATAGCAATATCTGGGTAATCAATAATGCAACCTCATGCAGTCTTTTGTAACACTACATACACCTCTTCTATACATTCAACAGAAAATTCACAAACGACCAGGCCTACATCGACATATATTCAAAACACTATTCGGTCAAGTTTGTCTGCACTAATACTGAACTCGTTACTTCTACTGGTCTGCTGACTTCATTCACAGACACGTAACTGTAGAGAAGATAAGATAGCTATATATGTTGATCAAAACTACGCTCAAGGACGCAAGCTGTACTTAACAAATGTCCAACCATATAAGTATACTGTTGTCAGCTAGATCCCTGGAGTTAAGGCAGTGATGTAGAAAATAATGTCGAAGGATTGTCTGTTCATATCAAAATCAATAAAGAAGCTAAAATGGGGCGGTTGAATATTTTATGCATAAAATATTCATCTGGCTGAGTATTTCATGGTGGATGAAAATTATATCGGACACCTGTACAGCCATACAGTAAAACGTTCCTGCACTTACAATGCAAGTTAGACTACACTTTATATTTTATTGTATGGTTAAACAGAAACACTTGACAATTTAATATATTTCACCCCTGTGATGTTGAATGTGGGTGAAGTTATATAAAACACCATGACGGCTGTTCACTACTCCAGCTACACCAGACTGAATATCAATCATTCACACTTTTTAGTTCGTTAAAAGAAGATACTTGAAGATTTTGATACATTTGACCCCTGTGACATTGGATAGGAGTCAAGGTCTGCTATTTCTATAAAGGTGATTTAAAAGCCACCCACCCCAGCAATCCTGCCAAATGACTCCAATCTAGCCTCATTGGTCATTTGAAGTTGTTTGAAGTTTTTAACGGGTTTAAATTATCTATGACCTTAGAATTTACAAGTCAATGTTATTCATTTTCACAAAGAAAAAGATAATTTACTCATTCACCCCTGAAGACACATTTGAACTCTTCTAATTTAAGTTTGGAATAGTTCATTATGAAACTTCAGGGGTGAATAAGTTAAGGGTCAAAGTATATGTTTTACATTCAATACCAAATTTGTTTTTGCATTTAGGGCTATATTGTGGTTAGTATACATCCGAAGCTAAATAATACCTTAGAATGTAAGAGCTATTGACAAACGTTTTTCGAAGATATCCACTGAATATTTCAGCAATATAAGAAATATGTAACTTGCTAATAGATAAGTTTAAAAATAGATTATACAAATTACTGCACATGCATACTTCTTTGTCTGTATGGGTGGCAAGTAATGATAACTGGTATGTGCTGTTAGTGTGCTTGCTATAAAGTTTTAAATTTGACCTTGACCCACAAAATAGATCACAGATGTGAGGTGAGTTAATTTGCAAACTGGATCGAAAAGCAAGTGAGCAATACAGATCCATTTGGCCTCTTCTTAATAGAACTGGCTTGTATGACTACTGTGACCTTGAGTGCAAGTCAACGGTGATTCATATTACCACTATAGCCTCATGCCTCAGATTTTGTCATGGTTACTGAAAATTTTAATATTTATTAAAAATAAAGGGCGAGTCAGTGGACTTGCCTTGGGACTAGTAAAGCTAACCTGAGTTTGTATACACATTTAAAAGGTATTTATTTTTATAAAAGTTAATAGCCCATTACCACAACAAAAATAAAGACTGGGCCATGTGGTTTTTAAGAAGAAATGTTTTGTTTAAAGATTATAGGCAAATGGAACAGAACTGGACTGAGTCAATCGTCTGCTACCAGTTAGCTCAAACTGGTAGAGCACCCATGAGGGTCCATGGTTTTAATCCAGGTCTGGCCAGCGCATTCCTCTTTCTCCTGTTCAAAAATTGTTGAGCTGGCCATGCAACCCATGTTTCAAGTACTTAATTGTTGAACTCTCGGGATACCATAACCCGAGTTGTAAATACTAGTAGTGTTGTCTTTTGGGCGAAGACTGAAAAAAAGGGGGAAGGAATGTAGTGGAACTGGACTGGCTTTGATTGTCAGGCGACCTGGTTGCTCGATTGGTAGAGCATCCGTCTAGAGTTTGGGAGGTCCCAGGTTCGAATGCTCCTATTACATAAGGATAAATTTGGTTAAACTCCATATACTTATAAAAAAGCCATTTACTATGTCAGTCATTTAAATAACTACAGTGAAGTTTGGCCCCTCATATAATGATCTAATATTTGTTAAGTGTTCAAGAGATGTGACATGAACAAATGAATGTTTCCATGCCTACATGCCTACATACCTTTCTGCAGTTAAAAGGGATCAGCTACGGCATTTAGAGCTCTTAAAAGGAAGATTTAACAGGTTTTTTTTACCTATTTTGCCCTGATTGAGCCCCTTAATTTGGAGGTTGTGTCCACCATTGGAGCAGATTTGATTCTCTTAGCCTGCCGTATGAGTTCAATGAATACAGTTTTGAACTTTTTTTATTATTATTAAAAATAAAAAATTCAAAATTAACCAATCAAATTGTATAAGAGTTGCCACACAATACACCCTGAGGCCGGTGATGAGGCGAAGAATGGCTCGGTATAGATAGTCTGATCGGTAATGACACCTTCTCTATAATACCTTTGGTAAACACTTCCACGTTGACCTTGTGATTTATCAAAATGTCACCAAGTGTGTGTCCCCAGTAAACATTGGGTCATGTGGCCGATAACACGGTCTGAACTGTCGGACAGCAAACTTTGGACTTTGCCAGCCCAAGTTCATGTCTGACAATATTCAACTGATAATCAAGATTTTAAAATCAAAACAAGAGCTGTTGGAGAACAACACAGCTTTCCTATTTGAGGAATAATTAAAAAGTCCAAAGTCCAAACAAAGCCAAAATTTTACAAAAGTGATTTCTGATATTTTTTTGTGTATTTAAATTCTTAAGATTATATTGATGAAATGTGATTTAGGTCCACAAGTACACTTCTTCTTTGCTTGCACATTCCAAGCATCTTATTCTATGTTTCCAAATGAGTCAATGCTTCATGGTTATCGTCTCTTCCTTATATTGGATGAAGAAAACCTGAACATTGAGCAATGACTTATTTGGCAAGCTTGGATGAAGAAAACCTGGACATTGAGCAATGACTTATATGGCAAGCTTGGATGAAGAAAACCTGACCATTGAGCAGTGACTTATTTGGCAAGCTTGGATGAAGAAAACCTGGACATTGAGCAATGACTTATATGGCAAGCTTGGATGAAGAAAACCTGACCATTGAGCGATGACTTATTTGGCAAGCTTGGATGAAGAAAACCTGACCATTGAGCGATGACTTATTTGGCAAGCTTGGATGAAGAAAACCCGACCATTGAACAATGACTTATTTGGCAAGCTTTGATGAAGAAAACCTGACCATTGTGCAATAACTTATTTGGCAAGCTTGGATGAAGAAAACCTGACCATTGTGCAATGACTTATTTGGCAAGCTTGGATGAAGAAATCCTGACCATTGAGCGATGACTTATTTGGCAAGCTTGGATGAAGAAAACCCGACCATTGAACAATGACTTATTTGGCAAGCTTTGATGAAGAAAACCTGACAAATGAGCAATGACTTATTTAGCAAGCTTGGATGAAGAAAACCTGACCATTGAGCAATGACTCATTTGGCAAGCTTGGATGAAGAAAACCTGACAAATGAGCAATGACTTATTTGGCAAGCTTTGATGAAGAAAACCTGACAAATGAGCAATGACTTATTTAGCAAGCTTGGATGAAGAAAACCTGACCATTGAGCAATGACTTATTGGGCAAGCGTGGATGAATAAAACCTGACCATTGAGCAGTGACTTATTTGGCGAGCTTGGATGAAGAAAACCTGACCATTGAGCAATGACTTATTGGGCAAGCGTGGATGAATAAAACCTGACCATTGAGCAGTGACTTATTTGGCAAGCTTGGATGAAGAAA